GACAGCCACCCGGGGGGGCAACTGCCCCACGAGGGGGAACCTCGACGTCTGGGGTTAATGTGGCTTTCATGAGATGATGGGGAAGAAAGTTTCATGCAGCAGCTTCCAGCAGAGTCGGTGAATCGGCCGACTGGCGTCGAGCTCCGGGCCTCCAAACTCCTGCCAGGAACCTTCAGTCCATGAAGGAAGGAACTCTTTTGGGAGGATGAACCCTGGAGGCGCGCAGTCCACCGGACGTGCAGCAGCAGAAGGCTCGGCCACATCGGCCATGCAGCGGACGATTATTAATTCATACAATAAAACCACCGGTTGACGAGGAAGGAGGCAGCGGCGTGAAACATCAAATGGGGGCTAAGCTGCTTAAATGAAATGCAATGGCGGCGTGAGATGTAGTATGGAAATGTGTCACATTAACCCATCTTATTGAGTTCATTACATCTCCTGCTGCAGAGTGAACATGAAGTGTGTGGAGAAATCACGAATGGGCCTATTCCATGTTTTCACTGCAGCAGACATTAGTTATGATGAAGACCAGAGAACGATATCAGAGCGAGTTTCAATTAAGCAAACCGTCCAAAAACGACTCCAGGAAGGCAAAACACTCACAAAATCAATCCTGCCCACGACATAAGCTATTGATCAACGGTCAGAGGTGCGACCGGCAGAATGTCCGCAGTTAAAGCCAGCGCACAGGTGAATATGAACAGGTGAATATGAACAGGTGAGCACACACGGCGACGTGGAGAAAGAGGAAGAGTGACCCCGACACACACAAGAGCTGTTGATGTTGTAAAGTCCCTTTGTCATTGAAGTGCCCGCCTGAGGACGACGCTTTGTTTGACGATCAACAAAAACGGCGGTTATGTTGCAAAGGCAAAGACAATATTTTTACGGTGAAAAGGTGCATTCCTACTTTACTGTGTGTGTCCATTTGTAGTATTGTTTCATATGATTGGTTGGCTTAAAGAGGCAGTAGTGTTCAGTGCATTGGGAATTTCCGTCCTTGAACCTGGAATCAGTTGAAGCATTTAACGAAACACGTTGACTCTATTCTAAACTAACTTTAACTTCCCCTTGAACTTGACTCAAGCAGAAGTGACTGCTGGACTAACGGATTGGTGATATGAGACGTTACTTATTCATTTCATGCCGCAGAAATGAGCAAACGGTGACATAACATCACACAATGGGTTCAAACAAAGACCGGCTGACATCAACAATCAAAAGACGTGGCGACCGCGTGCCGGGAACAATGTGCGCGCCTCCCACAGAATACAGGATGATTGACGTCGCGTTCGTCCCTCCCTCCGGGTCCGCGATCTGCTCCTATCAATTCTTGTCATGTGTGTCTAGTGTTACATTTTGTGTAACTAGTTTTTCTTTTCAAAAAGCTTTTATGTACAAAAAAAGAACGTGATTGACAAGTGAATAAAAATAACAGTCATCGGCCCTCAGTGACCACGCCGCGTCTAAATAATCTGATTATGCAAAACACGACGGTTTTATTATGTCTTCATACGAAACAAACAAGCAAAATCAATAATATACTTTATATTTTCTCAGATCATAACATGAAGCACCATTTAAAACAGTTTATTTACTTATGTTACTATTTACAGGTGAATTAACCAATTCATACGCAAAGTGCTTCACAGTTGCTTTCATGCTTTACCTCCACTTAACATTTAAGGACCAATCAGACTTCAGCACCACTGTTCATGCAGGAAGAATGGCGCGTTTTAAACAGCGTCCCAGTGGGAGGGATATTCTTAATCAAAAGGGAGATTTCTTTTTTTTTTTTGGTCTAATCTGGGCCAGAAAGTTAAAGAAGCCCTGCAGCGCGCCGTCGCTCCCACAGGTGGAGATTTGGGGAGGTCGACCGGCGCGTCTCCACCCAGATCAACATCAGCTCCGTCACATTGGAATAAGGAACGAGCCGCAGCTACCTTTACAACAAGGGGGGGGGGGCAGATCACAATGATCGATCACCCTTCCTGCGCATAAGACCAGACCAGAGAAATGTGGCGGCTTTAGAAGTAAAGTTGCGATCAATTCAGGGGATCTTGTCTTTTTACCTGCAGCCGTATCACGGCATCGATGGGGGGGGGGGGGCCTTTGGCCCTCAGGGAGTATCTACAAAACGGCCCTGTGGTTGTTACTTAGAAACAATATGATGTGCTCGTGTGGAGAAATATGGGGATTGCCCAAAAAAATGGTGTTTATCCACTGGATTAATGAAACTCAGATCGAGGCTTTATGAGCGATGAACAGTGGAGGACTCAAGCAGAGACCCCCCCCCCCCCCCCCCCCCCGAAATCGACTAAAGGAAACACCGGAGGAGAGAAAGAGCCTTTTTATGCAGTTTACTTTAGCGGCTCCCCCACAAAGACGCCGTTGTTCACATAACAAGCAGGATGCGAACACACTGCAGCTGCTTTACAGTCATTGAAGACGCATCCGCGCTCAAAAAAACATTTCTGTAAATCGTCAAGAAATTTTTGGAAGTATTATCTCATCCTTGATTCAAAGAAGTCCTCATTCATTCTGTAAAAGCGGCTCCGCGGTTGATTGGTTTTTTTTTTTTTTTTTTCATTTTACTGAAAAGTACCGTCTTTTGTGTGCAGAGAGGATGCAAACAACGAGCAGCTCGACTGTGCTGGTAAGAAAAGCCCCCGATGAAACTCAACATGGTGGAAATGAATTGGTCACAGGAGGACTGATTTAGTCAAAAAGAGGCAGGGAAAAAAAAAAAATCCAGTTAAAAAGGTGAAATTCAGTTTTATTGGGGGTGTTAATGTGCAGAGGCTGGTGATTCACGTCTTTGGGTTCTTCCTCAATCAATCAGTCAAAGGTAAAACTCATCGTTTCAGGCGTGCAGATTTCAGGTTTTGCTGCAGTCAGGATGGACTGAGAGGAGGGGAGGTGGTACATCACATTGTGGGTTGTGCTATTTGGCTCAAAGAATGTGTATCAATAGCGCCCCCACATGGAAAGGCCTGAACGACAGAAGGTCTGTAAGTCAGCATGCTAGTTCTTACGCCCCATTGAAAGGAGACTTCTTGATGTAGATGTTTAAGTTGTCAACATGAAACCTGACAGATGGATTTGAAATCAGAGAAAACCGACAGAAATTAATCAGAACATGAATTAGCAGCAGGGAATGTGTGCGTTATGAATAGAAACATGTCAACGATGTAATAACTTGGCATTATGAAAGTAAAGCTTTTGCAGAAAAAAAACAACTGTTTTTTCTAAATTGTTTTTCATTCGCCGCGACTGAGTTGTGAAGTCAGAGCAGACGTCTCCCGTAAAATACCGTCCACACCCGTCGCTCTACAAAGTGTCATTTTGCCGGGAAGCCAAATAGGTCAAACGTGCCCCAGCGATGCTGCGAGAAGCTCCTCGCGAGGAGCTCACCATGGTGCTCCTCCTCAGGCTCTCCACGGTCTGCAGGAAGCACCTCAGGGCTTGGTCCTCCTCCAGGGTGGAGCAGACCTCCTCTTCCTCTTCCACCTCCTCCTCCTCCTCCTCCTCGATGGTGCCACACTGCACGCAGCGGAGGCGGGGCTCGCGTCGTCCCGCCCTGCAGACACAAGCTGTGGCCAGGGACTGGGGGAACTCCTCCATCACCAAAGGCAGCAGATGGGCAGGGAGCGTGTCCATGCTGGTCGCCATGGTGAAGCGTGGCCCAAATGCGAGGAGGGCGACGGGCTGTTGACAGCGACGCGGCGTCTTCTCGAGCCTCCGTTAACACATTCCGTGCTTCCTGTTAGCGCTTTCCACAAGTTTTGGACCAAAAAAAAAGAAGAAGAAATTCTTCAATTCTGAAACGCTGAGATGGGTCGGAGCCGTCGGTCCGGTTCTGCTCGGTGATGCGCGAGATCCTGTGGCTGCTGCCCCTCGGCTCTGGAAGCGTGCAGCGAAATCACAGCGAGTGAGTTCGAGTCCCAGCGAGCCGTGGACCCCCCCTTTAAATACGCTTCTACCCACTCCCACCCGTTTGTTCCTCTGGGCCCCCCCAGCTCATCTCCGCCTCCTCCTCCTCCTCCTACATTCTCAGCGATGACACACTTCCGCGGCTTCCATATACCGGTGCGCCGGAATAATCTCCCAGAAACTGTTGGCATGGGAACCGGACTGCGACGTCGGGGCGGCAGAGGGGGCGGCACACCGGCAAATGACGGTGAAAGCAAGACAGCGCGTTCCCTCCGTGTTCTGTCACAAATAAAAAGGTGAATCCGAGCCAAAGAAGACAAAGCCGACGGATGTCTGTTGCTCACATTGGTTTATTCAGATCAAAGTGCAATTGGGGTTTTCCGGTTCGCCCCCTAAAACGACACACGCGCATCGGGTCCCTGCTGCACCTGAGCAAGTTGCCCTTGTGTTTAATACATTAGAACTCAAATGTGACATGAAAGCCAGAGGGGTCGGAGAACCGCGCACCTGCTCATCGCTTGGTCCGCTTTAACATTTTTCCTAAGTCCCGACATTAAATGTGAGATTAGCACGATTGGGGGATCCACTGCATTCTGACGGGACGCCAAACAATAACCGCGGGTTGTGGGATGAACATAAAAACGGACAGAACATTTTAACGTCCGTGCAATATTTCTCCGTCTGTGTTCGTCCTTCGTCCACAAAACTCTCGTAAAATGTTCACCAGACCCAATTGTGGGGGATTAAAAGGAAACGAAAAAAAGGAAAACCAGGTCCAGGCGTCAACAAAGGAAAACATTAACGTCCAAAAATTGCCCCTTTTTCAAGTCGGGGGAGAGGTTTTCCACCTGCAGCGTTCTGATATTCTGTTTTGGGGGATCCCAAAGACAAACCTTTTGGGATTAAAGACCCCCCCCCCCTCCTTCGCCCCCCCCCCACATCATCTAGGCTTAATTTTTCAATCCTGTTTCTCCGAGAAGATGGATGGTTTTTTTTTATTTTTACGCGTTAGTGTTCCATCCGTCGCAGCTGATCAGTCGAAGAGGAGCACCGTCGTGTTCTTCTTTCTTCTCGTCCTCTTCCGTGGTCCCGTAGTGCCCCCCCCCCCTCCCCCCCTCCAAGCAGGTCGGTCTAACCCTGCTTCTGCTTCTTAAGGTAGCGAGCGCGCTGGGACAAACCCATCCCCATCACGTGGCTGTTGAGGATGGCGGCGGGCAGCAGGGACGTGGTCACCCAGCCCTGGGGGGGGAAAGCACACGGTCAGCTGCTGGTGATTCATGCAGTCATTTTATTTTTACTCTAAATCTTTTGTAACGTATGATAAAACGGATCTTTGTGGAATAAATAAAAAAGAAAAAATCATATTTCATATTAGCAAGCACTAATCATTTTTTTTATTTTTTTTTAAGGCAATGAAAACTTTTCCGCTTTAACGGTTATGAAGGTTAACGACTTTAAAGTAATCATTTCCCAGACAACAGTGCGGAGGTTTACACAGCTGATTTAGTTCTGAAGAAATTATTTTTAATTTTTTTCCAGTAAGTAGCAGCTTCAGGCAGCATCGTAAACGGTTCTTCATTGACCATCCGTATCCACGCAACCACTAATACAGGTTTCCTCTCAATAGCATTATTTATCTTATTACTCCTCATTACTCATTTCCCATTTACTTTAAAGCTAAATGTGTTATTTTTTTCTAAATTGATGTATAATTAAATCCACATAAAGAATCCTGGAGGCAGCTGAGAAGCGTCTTCGCTTCCACATGCAGTCAGGTCGGAGGCACCGACCGTCTACCAAAGAGGTGCCTCTCGCCCCTCAGCCGGGCTCTGACATTTCGGTTTGATGGGGTGTGGGGGGGGGGGGGGGGGGGGGGGGCATCACTCCACGGCCCCGGGTCCTATTAGGCGGCGATTGCTTTCACCGCGTGTGTGCGTGCGCGAGTGTCATGACACAAAAAGACACCCAGAGGACACCGCCCGACTCCCGGATGCAGTCACAAACTTTACATGGAAATGGAGGTCAAGTTGGAAGATTGGTTTCGGGCCGTGTGTGAGCAGGGGGGGGAGGGGGGCAAAGGGGGCTATTTACAATCTCGACTGTGTTCACACCAACGTCTGTCTGCGTCTCACTATGGATGCTCGTCCGACGCTGTGACAGACGCATTTATGGCAACATGGCGTCCGTGGACGGAGACGAGCAGGCGGAAGCTCCTAGGAGCCGTTTCCATGACCTCGACTAGAACCTGCTGGAGCAATTCGGATCTCTACGCATTCTCAGGTGGTACGTTTGGCCCGCGGGCCACTTGGCAATCAATTCCAAAAAAGGTGCCCCGAGGGAAGATTGTGGCGAAAAAGAAGAAATGCGGCGCCCACTTACAATCAAGACTCAAGACTTACCATGACGGCGTGGGGCAGGTAGCCGTTGGTCTGCGCCTGCAGCCCCACGGTGTTGAGCTCGGCTGAGACGTAGCGCTCCGGACTGGGCTTGTCCAGCGTGGCGCGGCGGATCTTACTCAGCTTGGTCGCAACAAAAAACGGCAGAACGCTCTGGGGGAGGAAGAGACACGGGAATGAGCGACGCGTGTGGTTTCACATCCTTCGTATCCTGGAAGAGAGCGTCGACGCGACTTTGTTTTGAATATGAATATGAATAGAAATCCACCTGGATGATGATGCCTTTGCTTTTGTACTCGGCCTGCAGTCCTCGCGAGAAGAAGTCCACGAACGCCTGCATTAAATAAAAGCAGGTTGTTAAGACCAAAAAGAAAAAATAGCAGCTTTGTATTTCCTCTCTCAAAAGAACGAGGACACATTAAGTAAAAAAAATAAATAATAGTAGTCAAAGTAAGAGATGAGTGCAGGAGCAGTTTGAGTACAATGTCAATGACACAATCGTTAAATGGAAGATTTTTTCATTTTATTTTACTCGCATTACTGACACTGGGAAAAATTCTGAAGAAGTTCAACTTCAACCTAGAGTAAGGAAGCTATTCTCGTATTCGGGAGGACCAAAAAGGTTTAGAGAGATTTTCCAAATCCCAAACACATCTGTGTTTGTTCTCACTCGAGACGCTTTTGTTGCGGATGGTTGCTACGATGCGGTTGCCCTGGATACGGGGGTACGGCCGGTGACAGAGAGAGAGAGGGAACACCTGGCTCAGGGCGTTCTCATTTCCAACGAGCACGGCGTCGCTTCCACTCTCTGAGCGTGTTTAAGACTTGGCCCCCGTCCACGGCGCCCACGGTGGATTGGCCGTAACGCACATCCGCGCCGCGTGGGGAGCGCGGCGCAAAGTGCTCACGGTGCCGGGGGATGAGTTTACAGGCAGCGCGTCGGGGAGGGGAGAAAGGTCACGCGCCGTGTACTGCAATCACCTTGGAGGCGGAGTAGACGGTGAGCAGAGGGACGGGGTACATCCCGCTGGCGGACGAGATGTTCAGGATGGCCCCCTTCTTCCTGCAAACACGAAGGAGGGCAATAAAATAAATAAAATAAAAGCATGTTTACGCCGGCGAGAGAGGAGAAGCGGCGAGCTCACATCACACGAGAGCAGGAGGAAAAGATCATAAGGAGCGGTTAGATCAATATTTAAACGTTTGGCTTTTCGTACGATGTTTAATCCAAGCGACAGGTGGATGGTGAGGACGGATCAGAAACGAGGTTTTGCATGAATCCGCTTTAATCCGGCTATCAGAATTGAATGAGCTCTCATCGCGGCGCGACACCTAAAATGCAGATCATCATGCAAACTTATTAAAACCCTTTATTGTACTACGAGAAGGTTTCAGTGAAAATCTGACAATACATCACATTTACTTTATCGTCAACTGATGCTTTATATGCTGCTGAAGTTCAATGTCAGGCAATGTCACAATAAAACATTCAAAATACAGTAAATGTAAATTATCAATATTTACAAAACAAGACTGCAGGCAGACACACACACACACACACACACACACACACACACACACACACACACACACACACACACACACAGAGAGATATTTAGTTTTGATCTGTATCCGTTTTTCATTGTTATTTTTCCCACAAATCACAAACTCACCTCTCCACCATTCCAGGTAAAACGAGACGTGTCATCTGAGAAACGAAACAGAGAGACGGGGACGTGTGAGACACAACAGATCACAGAAAGTTAATTAACGCGTGTGCGTGTGTGTGTGTGGTGCATCTGCTTTGTGCGTCGGGGTGCGAGCCAGGAGGCAACAATAACGGCAGCAGAGGGAGCATTTCGAAGAAGAATCAAAACAGGACAAAGAGTCGGGAGAAAGTGGGCGGAGCCGCAGCCGTTGCCCCGGGGGGAACGGGCGCGCGCGGCGCAGAGACCCGCCCCTGCACCGCGTCCTTCTGCTGCGTCTCTGTTCTCGTTGTCATCGGCGTGGATCTCGGGGGGGGAGGAGGCCCACCGGGAGCCACTTAATTAGCGGGAAAGGCAGCGCGGGCCGCGAGCAGACCGAGGCGCTTAATCATCGCCGCCAGCCGTCGCCGAGGCGAGGACACTTTCACACCCTTCAAACTTCACCGCGGCTTTGAACCTTCTTCGAGGAAAACGTCGGCTGCAATCGCCGCCATGCGAGCGTCGAGTACAGATCCAGATTCATGGGAGGAGTTAAGCGGAGGAACGCTCACCTGGCACACGGACGTCATGTTAACGTTGACCATGGTGTCGATGAACTGAAACAAACAAACAACAACGGGGGCTTTACGCCTCGCTGCGGTGGGTTTGTGCATTATTTTTGGGGGGAAATTCAAACTAAACAGACGTGCATAAAAAAAACTATATCACACAATCCTTTCATACATGAAACTTTAACTGACCGTGTCGAGACTCGGGACGTTGAGGAAGAATTCAGGGTAAGAATATGATATTCCAACATTGTTCACTGTTATCAGGGGAAAAGAAATAAAGAACAGAAAGCACAGCATGACGTTAAAACTGACAAGAAGGAAGCATTTCTGTCATGTGGAGTTCAGCGTGTGATTCCTCTTTGCATCTTAGGAGGGCAGCAGAGGGCTGAGGGAGCAGAGAGAAGTTAACCTGCGTGATCACAGGGAAGCAAAAACAGAACGTAGCGGATTCATCTGCGTTCCTGAAGGCTGCGCCCTCTGCGTTCAGTGCGGGATCTCACACAGTCTCACCCAATACTCCGATCTCCAGCCCCACAAGTCCGTCCTCGATCCTGGAGTAGATGTCCAAAGCGCTGAAGTCGGCCACGATCGTTCTGGTCTCCACTCCACATTTGCTCGCTGGAAGCAAAAAAAAATAACAATTCATTTTGCACAAATGCACAGCAGAGAAAGACCTTCATCGGCTCTTATGATGCGTCCATCAAACGGTCACTATGGAAAAAGTCCAGAGCAGGAGAGAAAAAAAAGAGACCCTGCAATAATCCTTCATCAGAGTGGATATCCTCCTCTAAAGAGGCGGCTTTGATTTAATTGGACAGATTGATTTTCAGCTCCAGCAGGAGGCTTTACCGCCTCGCAGACAAAGACCACAACAGCCCTCCGAAGCTCCGCTGGATGACGGCTCGCTCTAGAAAAACATCTGGCAGCAGCACTCCGGTTTGGGCGTCGGCCGCGTGCCCTCGGACCGAAAAGGTGCTTGTGATTTCCCTCGACTGAGGGATGCTGATCAGTTAGACCGAGTACTGATGCCTCTGCTGTGCGTCACACTCACTCTGCATTCATTGTCGATGCTCTTTGCAGCATTTCTTTTTTCCATTTGTCTGCAACTTAAAAAAATATGATATCACAGAACTCACAGATGAACTTGGAAACGTCATCCAGCTTCTCCTGAGAGCGGCTGATCAGCACGATGCAGAAGCCTCTGCGCGCGAGCTGCAAACACAGAAACACACTTTTATTATTTCAAAAAGGGGGGTTCATTTTTCAAATGAAAGTTCTGTTCATTTGAAAAACAAATGTGAACCTGAAAGTTTTTAGGTTGAACATTGAAAAATACAATAATGCATTCAAAATAAAATAAGCGGACAAAAAGTATTTTCGGGATAAAAAGATTCCTCTATTTTTTTTATTTTATTTTTGAATAAAACATTTTTTCACCTCACTTATATATATTTTGATATTCACTCAATTATATTTTTCGGTTGGAGATTTTATATTTTCAGATTCAAAACTTTTTTCTCTCGTTTGGATCTTTTTTCCACATTCAGACTTTTGACCCTGATGTGGCGTAGGGGGGCGGGGCATCAATTGGGAGGGGCGTGTCATCATGAGTGACAGCTTCCTCAACCGCATTCAAAGGAACAAACCTTTTGACCTGGATTTGGCTCTAGTGTCACTAAACAAACGGTAAACGCGTGTGATTTGCACCTGTGGTTTCGATTTAAAATGTCAAAGGGGTTTATTTTGCTTTTTGCCTGAAGATTTGAGCTTCTGTCTGTAAACTTCAGCACCAAGAGCCGAGTCGTCCTCACGCCAGGGTCACAAGGGGCCGCCGGTGATAAAACCTTTATTTGAAAGTAAACATTTTATTTCGTGTCGTCGTCTGGGACAGAGCTCATGGAATCTCACCTCCTCAGCGTAAGCTTTGCCAATCCCGTCCGTGGCCCCCGTCACAACTAAAGGGGACAGACGGAGACGTTAGTTAGGAGGACAACGTGTCCCACGTGAAGTATGCAAACACAGATATGGCAAAGTATGCTTCTCCGTAGTCACTGGAAAAAGTTCTTAAACATGTTTTATAAAAAACAAAACACGAGTATGCAGACGTCGTGACACCCCCATTCATCTGCTGCTACCCCCCCCCAACAAGAACATAGCACCTCAGAAGGGAAAAGAAGGATGTCAGAGCACCAATGATGGCGGGCAGACAAAAGGACTTCCAGGGGTGAAGGTCGCTGTGGAGTCACTGCAGGGTGAGCAACCACAGAGCTGCCAGGGTAAATAAAACAAGGACAAATGGGGCAGGGGGGTCGTGGAGAACTGCCCGGCACAAATAGCAGCGGAGGCCTATTGTTAGCCTGTTCCAATCCATCAGGAGGGACTATTCATCACACCTGTCGCTGGATGTAGCAAAAAGAAAAAGGTGGAGCAGGTCGGAGGGGGGGGGGCGGGGGACGTAACAACCCCCCCCCCTCACTTAAACACTTCAGAAGAACAACACCCGTCTCATCCCTGTGCGTCCTTCTCCGGCGTCTTGTGTCAGCACAGGAATTATTGATGGCAATGTGGTTTTTGCTTTGGCCTCTGGGCTCAAACCGGATCAGTCTGGGGTTCCTCTGGGGGTTCCTCTGGGGGGCGCTAGCGGGGCTTTTAAGGAGGACACGCGAGGTGCGCCAAATTAAGGGCGGCGTTCTTCAACAAACAAGCTCCGCCACGGTGAATTTAGGATGAGGAATCCGCTCTGGTTGTTCGGGGCTCGGCGGTCAACCCGTCAAAACACCTTTTGTCCGACTACGATCCGACTAACACGCCTGGATAACTCCATCCGATCCGGTTGACAGTTGGACTATTGCGGCATGTGACGGTGAATCGGATAAGGAACTGGACTTTGCGTCTTTGCGTATGCTCGAGATTCCAACGACGACTTCTCTCCGTTATCAAATCATCCGATAGCGCCATTCGCATCCGCTGTGCTCCTATTAGCATCATGCACAGATAGTAGAGGGATGTAGCTTCATCTCGCTCTCCGCTCGCCATCTTTCTCCTAATGTTGTTGTTGTTGGTAGTGGTGAAGCGGTCAAGCGGAAATGGCTGTATCACGACTAGTTGTAATGAAAACAGCGCCACCTATCGTATCGGATATGACGTGCTTTCGGCCAATGACTCGATTTATTCACTGCCATGTATATTGGGATAATAGCACCTCCCCCCGAAAGACAGCATAGTCCAACTAAGCAAAGATTTGAATTGTACCATCATGTAAACACACTGAATGTCGCTTTAATTTAGACATTCAGCAAATACAGGAGCACAAAAAAAAAAAAAAAAAGTGTACCGCACCTCACGAGACGTTTATGCGCTTTCGCTAAAACGTACGATCCGAATATCCCTGCAGAGACGTTTCTCTTTAAAGAAAACATTTTGTTCTTTTGAGAATACTTTTAATTCCTTCTCTCACCCATGTCCCCTTTTTGTGGACAGATGATGCAGAGCATCCTCTGGAGGAGGAGGCGGGGGGAGTAAAGGAGAGGAAAAACATAAACACAGGGATCCTGGGGGCAACTAAAGATAGCACAGAAGAGGAGGAAGGTGGGGGGGGGGGGCCAGAGTAATCCAGATTCTGCAGCCACAATGAGGGAGGAGGAGGAGGGGGGGGGGGGGGCGCATAGGCCGGGGCTATTTATAGAGCTTTGAGAATTAACCTTTTTCCAGTAGGAAAAAGAAAAATGAAAAACAAGACGAGAATAACACACAAACAGACAAACGCAGCCTTTACATCAGAGCGCATGTTCCCTGCAGTCCTGTTTCAGGAGGCGCGGCGCTCGGCTGAATGTAGGTTACACCGGCGAGCTGCGATAACGAGGCTTTTTGGGGGGGTGTCGGGGCTTGAGAGACGGCGACATTTCATGGTGAAAACAATTGAAGCACTGAGAGTAGATAGTAGTCTCCATCTGCACCCTAAAATAAAAAGTCCCACCGTGCTCACCGCACTACGAACAGCAGTTCCCTTTTATGACGGTGTAATGATGGTAATTACTGGGGAAGCGTGACGTAGGGAGCAGTGGACCAGAGTCCCGAGGAGTCTCATTCATGAACGGCGTCGGCCTTCTTATGTAACCGGGTCGTCCTCTCAATCAAGTCCGCTTCACCGAGACGAACGTGGTGCATTTGGAGCCGAGGCCGACACACTCCTGCATCACTGCGCATGTGGGGCTCAGTCCAAAAATAATTACCCCCCCCCCACCAAAGGAAAAGAAACACGCTGACTCGTTTTTCATTTTTAGCTGCACAAAAAAAAAAAAAAAAGATCAAAAGGCGTCTTTCTGGCACGCGTCCTCCAAACATGTGGGTTTCTCTGGCAGACAGATGAGCACACAGTGGGAAAGGATGATGTAATATCCCTAATAACTACTTTGTTTAATTATTAATATATTATTTTAAAAGATAATAATTGACTAACGGTAAAAAAAAAGAAAAAAAAAAAAAGGTCCAATGCTCTTTTTTCTCTAATTATGAGGTTAAAGCGACGGCAGCTGCCTGATCGGACTCCGGGGTCGAGCCGGTCGAGTCGGACAGATGGAGACCGTCGCGTCTCCTTTGATAATCCCCTCGAGCCGTAATCCCCATGACGACGTTTACTAGTTTACACCGGGGGACAAAAGGCTGATCATTCCCTGCCCGTCGCTCTCTGGGATCCAAGTTCGACAGATAGGAGAGTGAGTGTGTGTGTGTGTGTGTGTGTGTGTGCTAAAGCAAAAGTCTAAAGTCTGTACACCACACAATCAGTTGCATGAGCGATGACACGTCCATCACTATCTTTCCCATTTTGATTGTCAGAAACCTTCGTTGATTTACTTTTGTGCCGTGAGTTTTTTTACTGAATGAAAAAAAAAAAATCAAAGCAGCATCACTGTAATTTGAGTCGCCCCACTGGACCATTTGTAGACAGAATGTATGGATGTGAGTCGAATATAAAAGGCGTTGACACCTGCGGCCAGTGAACGACGCCGTGCAATCATAAGCCACGGAAACTAGAAAGTGTCTATTGGAAAGACACTGCTATAGGCAACAGCAGAGGGGCCGGTTGTAGAGCGTCAGCTGTAGAAGGGGTCGGTTGTAGAAGGGGTCGGATGTAGAAGGGGTCGGATGTAGAGGGGGTCGGATGTAGAGGGGGTCGGTTGTAGAAGGGGTCGGTTGTAGAAGGGGTCGGGTATAGCTCGAGGTCCTTAGTCGGGGGGAGTCAGAAGGCGCGGGGTTCGGAACTAGAGGAGCCCATTGGAGAGGGAGTCAGTTGTAGAGGGGGTCGGATGTAGAGGGGGTCGGATGTAGAGAGGGTCGGATGTAGAGGGGGTCGGTTGTAGAGGGGGTCGGTTGTAGAGGGGGTCGGTTGTAGAGCGCCGGTTGTAGAAGAGCCCATTGGAGAGGGAGTCAGTTGTAGAGGGGCCAGTTGTAGAGGGCTACTTTTACATGCTGGCAAGCGGCTTTCCTGTGTAGGTGACTGGGATGATTATCTGAAAGGCACCGCTTTTCTCGCGCTGACCTTATGACCTCTCTGGTGGAGAGGCTGGACAGGGGGGGCATTATGTATTATGACGGAACAGAAGGGGATCTACTGTGTCTGTGTCCTACCACACTGGCACCTTTCATCGTCACACTGTCCTCTTTGTTTGCCAACGCTGTGTACTGCGCATCGTCTCCGCGATAGAATAGAACTCTGCTCATCCTTTTTATTTTTTATTTTTTTTCATAACACTCACGCACGCAGTTGCTCACCTGCCCATTTCCCCAGTTTGTCGGGTGACACGAGCCGTCCGTTGCCGAGGCCCCACACCCTGATGCCGGACAGCAGCCGGTACACGGAGCACACGGAGAGCCAGGCGGCGGTCAGGGCGCCGAGCCACAGGAGCGGCGTCTCCGCGGCGCGCAGCGCTGCTTCTCCGGCGGACCACATGCCTTCAGAGCACGGGGACGAGGAGGAGGAGGACGGGTGGGTGCTTGTCCGACGCTGGGAGACGTCTGTGACGGCCGATGAACTAATGCAAATAACAATACAAACGCAGACTCGCTCAAAGTGCGGGACGCGCGCGAGGAGAGAAGCGGATCACAGAGCTACTTCCGCGTTGAATCGGCGCGTGTGCCCGTTGCTCTTCTTCTTCTTCTTCTTCTTCTTCTTCTTCTTCGACGGGTTCAGAGTAGAATTAGCAGCGTTATCGGAGCTTCACTGCCGCCTGGTGGTTTAGCTCAGACCTCCCCGGTCACATATACAGCATCTATATGTAATTAGAGTTTTCTTTTTCATAATGTCAGGTAAGTCAGGTAAAAGGACTGCCCACTGTTAGGATCCAGGTTGAGGGGTGTATTTTTAACCAGTCCTGCTTGGCGAGGGACAATTAACGTTAGTCCAATCATCTGTTCCAACTGGGGGAAGAGACCACGATGAAGCCCAGGTAGACGTACTCCTTGAATGCATTCATCATGACATGATTTGGAAAGGTTTCTTTTAAATATAAATGTGTTTATTTTGTTTTAAACAGACATTAAAGACTACCACTGTTTTTCCTTTACATAATAAGTCCATTGCGTGGGCATTTTTTATGTTACGTTGTTTGTATTGTGTTTTTTCTACTCATCTTATTTGCTGTGATTTGATTTGTTTGAAGTGGTATTCCGCTATATTTTCAGACTATTTACTTCACGTTTAAAATCTCTAAATGTCATTCCTTTTTTTTCTTTAATTTTTTTTCATCTAAATTTGGTAATAGGACTGTCTTAGTTCTAATAAAAACATTGACAAATACACTCATTGATTCTGTTTCACTCCGGGATTTCACAGTTTGGAGCTGTTCAACAGTACAAATCCAACATTGAAATCTCATGGTTATGAAAAAAATAATGACCTGTCCGAATGAAAGCTGGCAGATTATATTTTTATTGTTTTATTGAATCTTAAGGAAATGCTACACATGTGAGGTACGATAATTCAATACTAAGATACTAACATTGTTGGGAGAAATCCATTCCCCAAACATATTCATGGCTTGTATTTATTGAACACCATGTTCCCCAAGAGTGTACTTCGACAAAGTGGCCCGAATATGCATAAAGAGTTGTTTGTTTGTTTATTTGATCTTACCGGTTCCCTGAAAACACATATGGCTGCAATGCATCTGTTTATCTCTGTATTAAGTTAGAAGAGATCATTTAATATGACTTCATACACAGACACACACACAGGGAGAACACAACTCTGCCCAGTGGAGCAGACATCAGTGGTCCATAATGTGAGAGCAGCATTACATAAGAGCATTGCATCTAAAAATAGCAAATTCCACAGGAATTTTGAGAGTGTGGCCGAAACTGCCCGAAGATGTCGCAATGCACAGATAAGTATAGTGTAAGTTGCAAACATTTGGGATTTAAGGTGTTGCATACATAATATTTTCTCTCATACCAGCGCATGTGCTCTGTGACCTCATGACGTTCTGGGTATTGTGGGAGTTGCAGGCAAGAAACGTCATCGTTGAGGTTGTAACTTACCAAATTACCCAAATCAACTGCTCCTTCAAATTGAAGCTCCCCAGACACTTCCAGACCAGAAGACGTTCCACCAGGACAATGATGATGGCCATCACTCCCATCCGTTTTAGTTTTGGACTTGTGTATATGAAAATATCGCTCCTCTTCAAGTGCAATATAAGTATTATAATATAAGTACAATATAAGTATTGCACTTGAATTCCTGTTCACATCTGGAATCAGGAACATTTATTGCCAAAATATGTTAAGACAGATGCCCTGTTAAAGTTTCTGAAGTTCAATATCAAGACAGTTTACCAGCATTATCGATAACAGCTTAAAAGACATGAGAAACTCTCATCTTACGCCTGAAAGATCTGAGCGTCACCAGTAATTCCCTGCTGCACACTATAAAACATCCACGTTGAGACAAAGGTATTGCCAGTGCAAGTTTACGCCCTCCACCAACTACCAGAAAATGAAAGGAAAATGTTTTAAATGAATTATTAAACAAAGTGTCATTTTTAATAGACACGAAAAAAAAAGAACATTTTAAACAAACCCACCCGCTGTCAAATCCCACTTAAGAGGGGTCATTAGCCAGAGGGCCACGGCCAATGTCAGCTTCCAGTTCTTAATCCATATACCAGATCAAACTTTGATTAAACATGGTATTTCGTTGGTGAGCGGCCGTAGCATTTGGTGGGATAATAAGCTCAAAGTTTCCCCTTCGATGGCTGCGATCGCCTGGTGCCATCGCCGACGTGAGTAATTCTGGCCCGCCGCTGCTTCCACGCCGGGGTCCCGGTGCTAGTGCGTGTCCACAGTTGGTGTGTGTGTGTGTGTGTGTGTGTGTGTGTGTGTGTGTGTGCCTGCAAACTCCAGTTTTGGGCTTTGCGGTACACCTTTCCAACCGGTATAAAAATTCGTTTTTTGAAAAATCCCACGTAAATTAACTGCACCGCCGATATGCCGGTTTGAACCTTTGACATGTGCCGAATTCGAGTTCAAGCTCACGTTTATTTATCCCCAAAACCGGGACGTGCATCGGCTTGAGATTTGGCTGAACACATTATCAAGTGAGGAATTTGTTACACGGCGATAGCGTAGCATGAGAGTCGGCCGACAGTACGTCGACTGGCTTCTAGTCCACCATCACGATTAGCCGTCGCTCTGTGCTGTTCCTGACGTATACTTGCTACGTCAGCCTCCTTCAGCTCAAACTTTTCTTGGTTTCCGTGGCAACAATGCGGCTTCGGGGATAAGCTCCGGGGCCGTGGTGATCTTTTGCTGTGAGCCTCCGTGCATGTGTGTGCTCTGCTAGCAGTGTGACTGACCTAGATCGACGAGAGGAAGAGGAGGCGTGCACTTCCAACCTGGAACCAGAGTGCACGTCGGCTCCGTCACACGCAGCAAACGCCACAACGTCGGTGCTGTGAATTCTGAACCAAACCGTGTGCCTCAACCGGATACAACTACAAGAATTTGTTTGCGACTTTAATTGGCCACCAAATGCCCCATTAAATGAACGAAGGTCCGACTCATGCTGCTGCACGAGATTCCTAATGAGGCCCCACCTGACGCATGCGATCGTTAGTCGCATGCAGATTTGTTGGGCGCGCGAGACTGTTGTGGGGTTCCTAGCGCGCCAACAGATGCTCCAGGATCACAATCCGCTCAACCGTGGAGTTATTGCACCTCAACTCAAGCACAAAGGCGGCAGGAACGAACCAAAATAAAAGCGTTCATTCTCACTTCAATCCAACAAGACAAATATAAGAATACGATATGTCAGCGTTTATCTGTGACAGCGTTGTTTTGGGCCTTGAGGACTGAGGAGAGACACAGTCGTTGGCGTGAATAACTGTGTGCGACACAAACACCTAATAATGCGAAACGATTCCCTTTTGTTGAGTGTGTGTACGCATACCATTACTGTTCGATTGCCATTGGTGAAGATCAGCACGGCCATGAAGAGGTCCAGCTAGTTGCCGGTGAGACGGCCGTCTGCTCACGCTGTGGAGCATCATACACGCACATGTATGCATCGCCGTGTCTACATACGCACACACATAGATGTATGTAGATGTGCACGCACAGAAAAGGGAGACTTTTTTTGTTTCTCGTTCTTTTCAGTTTGTATCCTTATGCTTGAAATGCACTTATCGTGAGTGGCTTTAGGTATTAATAGCGTCAGCTGAATAACATGTAATGAAATGTAACACTCATTCTCCTAAATTGATGAGCACCTCCAACGTGGTCCAGTTGTTGCTGAGGTAACTCCCTTTGGAGCCACAGCATCGCTCGGCAAACAGCTTTACGAGCATTTCCAGCATGAAATATGCCTCGACAAAGTCTGACGAGGGGTAATAAAAGAAAAAGTAAATCCATATTAAACAACAAATGCTAATGCGACTACAAGGTGTCTTCGCTCATGAATACAAAGGGACATTTGTATCTGTTATAAATTATTTGTACAGACTAAAATGTGTGCCGTGTGTTTTCACAAAGAGGAAATATGGAGACTTTTGAACTGCACTTGAACACAAAACATAGTGTAGCTTCTCCGCTGACCGGGTTGGTAACTGGGCAGACCGTTCAGGAGGATTATCAGAATCCTTCTGGGTTCAAATGATCTTTGCATCCACGTTTGCTTTGACATGTAATGCCAACTAACCTCAAAATACTGCCTCAATCCAACACTTTACATTTAAAAAAACAATATACATCAGCTTTAGAGCTCAAATTCTGGATATTAAACAATGTTACCCGTCGCTTACAGTGACAGCCAATGATATTGCAGCATTTATTTACCTGTCCGAGGATTCCATTTAGGTAAAAAGAGTGATGAAAGATTAATATGAATTTAGGCGTGTGAGTTTCTTCTGAACATCATCCGCTAGTAATGTCAGACATTGTGACTAATGTGACTGGTATAAAAGTAACTCAGACTACATATGCACCAAAAGGCCATTTTAAAATAAATAATCATTTTAAAAACTGAGGCAATTCAGAACTTGACATTTGAATATATTAAGAACGCACAAATCGCTGGTATTAACCGACAGTTTTCTTGCTATGTTCACATGAGTAATACATCAAAAGGTACAAAGCCTTTAGTATCGGTTTCTTTTTTTAAATCCATTGTGAGTCCGACCGTGTTGTAGGAAGTGGAGAAAAAAACATTCAGTCTTGAATTGAGTAAAAGTAATATGTGAATAACAGTCTGTTTGAAAACACGGTCGGGAAAAAGGCCACATTTATCGAGCGACTGTAGCGGAGTTTTAATTAAGATAAACTCTGTTCTTTGTGGATTTTACAAGATAATAGCAGTTGTTGTGCATCTATTCTGCGTCCGTCAGATTCAGAGTCACACGCTTTTAATATTGTTTATATCCATATGTTATTTTACTGCGCAGTCACAAATGCACAAATGAAATGTCTTCATAAAAAGTGGTTATTCACTTAACTACATTATGCAAAGATCCACAGGGAGACACGATAGAGGGTTTTACACTGCTTTTATTACAACACTGCTGAATAGAAATGGTTAAAGCGTCATACATATTGAAATAAAATACATACCTAGTCAACAGCATACAATTAAATCCATTCATAATCACAGCAAATGAGGTG